CCCCTCCGCTTGGCGCAGAGCCCCAGTCGCTCTTGGGTCCCAGCTACTTCCAGCCCAGGGTTTGGGGAGAGAGTTAAAGGAGTTGAAGACCTTTGCGAGGCTCTGTGCTTGGATATGCCCAGTCTTATTCAAACCGGCCCCACGTAACCAGGTCAGGTGATGGTGGGAGGCTTTATTAATACCCCCATTTGGCAGGTGAGAAAACTGAGGTCCCAGAGGAGTGCCCCAGCTCTCACTGGGACTGGAGCCCACCATTGCCATGATTCGCCTGGAGAGATTCTAAAGGGAAATGCCCGGGAGAGTTGAGTTTGAATCTGCCAGTGCCAATTTCTAGCTGTGACCATCAGCAAGGAACTTGAACCCTTTGTGTCTGTTTCCCTACCAATAAAATGGGGAGAACATCAGCTATTCCTGGCTATTTGTAAAGAGTCCGTGAGATAACCCACGTAAAATGAACACATTACATTGCTTCCTGCTGGCTGCTATTCTCAACAAACATGAAACCAAGTAGAGTGAGTGGCACCAGGCCTCCGGGACATGAGGGCCTGTCCTGCCCACAGTGTTTACCTACAAGCTTCCAATCCTTCTCGTCCTTCCAACATCAAGTTCACCTGGTTTTCACCCCCCAAAACACCCAAGCCCAGCCGCCCCCTGCCCACAAATGGGGCTAAATCAAAGAGTGAAGAGAGCAGTATTCACTGGCTGGGGAAGTAAGGGGTAAAGTTCAGAAAATGATGAATGGGCTGCTTCCCCACATGCTTCTTAATGTCTAGACTGTAAAAGGAATGGAAATTGTCCCTGCATTAGCACAGAAATGCTGTGGAGCACAGAAGAAAGGAAGGGGGAAATGTAGTCGATCACCACCCTCCCACTGCGGAAAGATAATCCAGAGCAGACTGTCAGAATCAAACTTGCTGGCCTCGGAGTAAGAAGTGGCATTTTTACCAGAGGCATTCACGTGGGCACTTTCAAAGGGGTTGCATTTGATTCTTTAAAGAAGTTGGTAACCAAATGCTGAATTTTACTGCACCATCTCGACTAATCCTTATAACAACCCTATCAAGTAGGTACTTTAAAAAAAAAACCTTCCAGCCCCGTTTTGCTGTTGAGAAACCAGGTTTCGTGATTTAACCAGCTAAGGTAGCACAGCCAGTTAGCGGGGGAGCAGGAATTCAAGCTCCACCTGTGTGATGCAAAGTTGGAGGTTTTTAACTCATGATCTACTAAGCACAAGCCAGGCAGCCGCAGGATTGCCAGGGAACCTTTCTGCGCCTGCCTGTTTTCTGGGACATGCTAGAAGTACTCAGGAACAGTATGCGCACATAATAGTCATTCGATAAATATCTGTCCAATGCCGAAGCTCAGATGTTTGAATCTTCACAAATGCATTGTTAGCCCCGGCTGGGTGGTTCAGTTGGTTGAAGATTAGTCCCATACACCAAAGGGTTGTGGGTTTGATCCCCAGTCAGGGCGCATATGGGAGGCAACCGATCGATGCTTCTCTCACACTGATGTTTCTCTCTCTCTAATAATTAACAAACATATCCTCAGGTGAGGGTTAAAAAAAAAGTGCATTGTTATAATAATTAAATCAGATGCCTCCATTTTATTTCTCATAGCTCAAAAATCCAGTTAAGATTGAGGAAAACACAAAAATTACTTTTTAAAAAATGTTATTCCGACTGAGAACTGTCAGGTGTGTTTCTGTGGCATGTCTTTCCTCTGAGGTGCCAGGTTGTGGGACTTTCCATGAACTCATGAAACAAGATGGCAGAGGAGGAATTTTTCTCTTGGGAGTTTACCAAATAGCTTTGTATTTGCCACTGGGTTAAAAAAGCTCCAAAGTGTAATCCCCTGTTTTTTAATATTGTCAAAGACTGGGCCTAAGCATGGTTTACTCCTGCATGTGCTCCAGAACTTAATTATTTAAAAGTGTATCAACATTCAAGTCATCCAGCTCAAGATCTGCATGGGACTCTGCCTCCTTGTGAATAAAGGGGCATCATTTCTTACCAAGGGAACTGCTCAGCAACTACTCTCTTGCACAAAAGCACTTGTTTCACTCATGACAGCCCCCATGCTTCTCCAGGTACAAGACGACATTGCACAGTAACCTGCAGTGCTCTTTCCTTCACCAATTTCCAATGCTGGCATCTTAGTAACTCCAGAGTCTCTACCTCTATCAGGAAGGGTTCTAAGATTCTAAATAAAAGTAGTTTTACAGTTTCTTATAAAACTATTCTTACTATATGACCCAGCAAATCATGTTCCTTAAAATTTACCCAAATGAGTTGAAACTTATGTCCATACTAAAACCTGCACGCAGATGTTAACAGTAGCTTTCGTCATTACTGTTAAAACTTGGAGACAATCAAGATGTCCTTCAGCAGCGGAATGGATAAACAAACCGTGGTACATTCAGATGACGGAATATCATCTGGCACTAAAAATAAATGAGCTATCACACCATGAAGAGACATGGAGGAACTTAAATGCATACGATTACGTGCAAGAAGCCAGTCTGAAAAGGCTCCATATTGTATAATTCCAAATATATGCATCCTAGAAAGGACAAAACTAGGGAGATAGTAAAAAGAAAGATCAGTGGTTATCGGGTTGAGGGAGGGGGGATGAATAGGCTGATCCAAGAGATGTTTAGGGCAGTGAAATTATTCTATATGACACCATAATGATAGATACATGTCACTATACATTTGTTCAAACCCACAGAATGTACACCACCAAGAGTGAACCCTGATGTAAGCTATAGACTTTGGGTATTAATGATGTGTCAATGTAGGTTGATTAATTCTAAGAAATATAGCACGCCAGTGGGAGATATTGATAACGAGGGGGGCTGTGCCTGTGGGAGGGTGGGGGAACCAGGGTACATGGGAAATCTCTGTACCTTCCTCTCAATTTTGCTATGAACCTGAAAGTTATTTTTAAAAAGTATATATTTTTTAAAAGGTAGTTTAACCTCCATTTTTAAAAAAATGAAGAGCACACAATCCTTGCAGAAGTTATTACAAAAATCAAATATCAAAAAATCAATGCTGGGAAGCATTGCCCTAAGTGCCTTTAAAGGCATATTCTCACAAATATTAATCCTTCGTGTACACTTGGCTTTAGAACATATCAGATTTTACATAATCATACAGGCATGTGAGTCATATACAAATGTGTTCTTGCACATAATTATAAAGCTATTAGTTTATTCTATGCAAACATATATGCGGAGCTTAAATTTATCATCTTCAAGAGCCACTCTGCTCCTGCTTTGAATTTTTAGATTCCCCAAGTTTTAAATTTCCGCTTTTCCTAAATCCCTCTTTAGTTCCAATTTGCATACTATTTTTGTGTAAACCAACTTTTCCCTTGCATTTCTAGAAGATGTCTCCCAACAATGCCATGAAAACCACCAGCACTGATGTACTAATTTAGTTTATGAATCTATGAGAATAGTTTGATAGGTTCTCTATATTTATATTTGTCTTTCCTTTATCTTTTAAATGTTTCAGCCCATTATCTTTTTAAACTACTGGTTTATAAATTAGTTGACAGTGTTGAAAAATCCCAAGTATAGGAATTTCTGGAGCAGATTTTCTTAGCCCAAGTTCCTCCTTTGTGGATAATCATAAAAATCTCATAATATTTAAAAAAATATATATCTTGATTGATTTCAGAGAGAGGAAAGGAGAGGGAGAGAGATAGAAACATCAATGATAAGAGAGTCATTGATCGCTGCCTCCTGCATGCCTCCTGCTGGGGATGGAGCCTGCAACCCAGGCATGTGCCCTGACCGGGAATCAAACCCTGATCGCCTGGATCCTAGGTCGACGCTCAACTGCTGAGCCAAGCCTGGCTGGACTCTCATAATATTTTGAAAATAGGTGGTTTTTTCCTTTCCAAACATAAAAATTAATACTAAACAGCCCTAGCCAGTTTGGCTCAGTGGTCAGAGTGTCAGCCCTCGGACTGAAGGGTCCTGGGTTCGATTCTGATCAAAGGTATGTACCTTGGTTGCAGGCTGGATCCCTGGGCCCAGCCCAATCCCTGGCCCAGGTTGGGGTGCCTACGGTAGGCAACCAATCGATGTTTCTCTCTCTCTGTGTCTCTCTCCACCAGCCCCCTCTCTGAAAAGCAATGGAAAAAAAACCTCAAGGATTAAAAAAATGTAAATAAAAAACAACATATATGGCCCCATCGACTTTTATACTGCCCCTCCTAGAGACTGACACCACCAGCCACCCTATGAAGGGTTTGTTCTGAGGTGAGATGGCTGATGCCAAGTGCACATACATGAGAAGTTCCCCTTCCTCAACCTGACTCTGCCCTCGTCAACTAGGCTGCTGGAGATCCCGAAGGAAGGTCTGGAGAGTTGTTGCCAGGTTCTGGTCTATATCTTTGATGACAGAACAATCACAAAAACCACCTTTGCACAAAGGTGAATCACTTAACGTTTTTTTATTAAATGATACATCGAAAGTATAAAAGTTGCTTAGGTACATACAAGTTACAGAATAATGCACATAAAACCACAATGAACTACACGTGACAATTCTGTTTAGCTTCTATTTTGATAATTTAATTTTACATCAGTATGCTAAACTCTGGCATTTTTTCTTAATCTAGTGCTGCATGATTGCAATTCCTGAGGTAAACTTAAGTGTCCACTGCCAACACCTTTGTATGTAAACCAAGTCGTCTGAGAAAACTTCAGATATTTATATTCCCACATATAATAGAAATCATAATTTTAATCAGATACTATAGATTTCTTTTAAAAAATGGGACTGAGCCCTGGCTGGTGTTGCTCAGTGGTAGAGCGACTGCCTGAGCACCAAAGGGTCACAGGTTCAATTCCTGGTCAAGGGCACATACCTGGGTTGCAGGTTCATTCCCAGCCCCAGTCAGGGCACATGCGGGAGGCAACCAATTGATGTATCTCTCTCACATCGATGTTTCTCTCTCTCTCTCTCTCCCCCTCCCTCCCTTCCACTCTCTCTAAAAATCAATGGAAAAAATATCCTCAAGTGAGGATTAACAAAAATAATAATAATAAAAAATAGAAACGAACCCTTATAATATTTCTACACCTATATAATTTTAGCCCACCAATAGGGCTTCTTAAAATCCTTTGACTTGTAAAGTATGGTTTAAGGGGATTTCTTTAATATTTTTCTGTATTCAGATAAAAATTCTTGGTTAATGTGTAAGGACTAAACACTGACTAGCACCAAATATAAAATCAAAAGTTTCAATAATTTCCAAAGTAGCACAGGGTCAATACCATAAGGAGAATGCCAATTTTGCCAACTACAGCCCTGATCACTTTTCCCGTGGAAGATGTTTAAGCTAAATGTTGTCGGTATCCAGGTGCCCATGCAGTTGTGCTCTGAATATACCTATGACTTTTGCCAGTCAGGTTCTGCTACTGTAAGTCAGTTTTCAGTGAAATCAGTCTGTAGACTCCACATTATAAAAATATCTTAATAAATATCAAAGCAGCATTTTAGAGATAGCACTATGATAGTTCTTACTATTTTTCTACCCCAAGAATAAAAACTGACATTTAATAAGACTTTCAGAGCCCAAATAACTAGGGGTTGGCCCTTTCACAGCTCATCTTATAATTGCACAACTGAAGGCCACATAGAGGTTAAACAATGCCATCTTTTAAAAGGTACTTTCTGGTATTCTCCTAAAGCCTGTCTCTTCAGGCTGATTCCACATTCTTCATGTAATCAAATAAACTCTTTGTTTTACTTACAGCAAAATTAAAAGAATTAGTTCCCCCTCTACATTTTAATTAAATCTTCCAGTAGAAGCCAAAATGATCTAAGGAAAGAAAAAGTACATTGTTACCTAGTTTAAAAGTTCAATTTTAGATAGTAATTCAGATATTTTAATCTAATTATAAATGGTTATCTGAAAAAATGGGTAATCAAAAAAGAACTTATAATTTTTTCTGGCTTTAGTGTTATTTAAAAAACATGAATTTTTCTACAAATCCACATAATTCCAGCCTGAAGGAAATTTACTTAATGAGCCATGCTAAAGAGCAGATGATATGGCTCTACAGACCTGGGTTTGTTTTTTTTAGAAGAATGTATAGGATACTACAAAGACTTTCCATTTCTCACAAATCTAAGGACCTTTAAAATACTTCCTAAAAACAATACATTTTCTTTCAAGTCAAATCCAGTAACCTAGGTGACAGAGTTAGCTTTTATTCACAAATGCACTAAAGCACGAAAGACTAAATATTTTGCAGAAACTCAAATTTGTACAAAGTACAAATAATTGTGATGCGTTTTGGCAACGAGAAAATAAATAAGTTATTTAATACATACAATTTTAAGATAAAAGATGCCCCAAATGAAAATGTCATCTCTTCACAGCTTGAGAAATATGAAGATCTTCGATATTAGCATTTTTCCCCTTCTCTTTTCTTAGGTGGTCATCTGAAATTAACAGAAATGAATGTCAATGCTTATCCCAAGTTAAAATAGGCAGTAGGCAGACACAACTACATATATTTCAGGATGTTATATATTTAATATTGTATGAGTTTGTTCTTTATTTATCCTCACCCGAGAATATTTTTTCCATTGCTTTTCAGAGAGAGTAGAAGGGGAAGAGACAGAGAAATACATTGATTGGTTGCCTCCACACTCACCCCAACCAGGGCCAGGGATCAAGCCTGCAACCAAGGTACATGCCCTTGGCTGGAATCAAACCCGGGACTTTTCAGTCCATGGGCCAATGCTCTAACCACTGAGCCAAGCCAGCCAGGGCTTGAATGAGTTCTTCAGACTGCTTAGGACAATGAAAAAAGCTCACAACTTTTTAAACACTACTGAAAAATATCAGAAATATTTTGTACTAGGGACTCTAATTACTCAGAAGTTTCTTGGCTTTTTTTTTAAATGAATAGAGTACCCCCTGGAGTAAACCCATAAAATAGCTACAAACTTCTCTCATGTTATATGTAAAGAATGGAATTCACAATAAAGGACAGAGTGTTTAATTAGCATTTTGAGGGATGTCAAAGCTCTTCAATCAAAAAGAAAAAAATAAACCTTTCTTCCACTAGAAATACCTCCCAGTAGCACCCTCTTGTGGCAAGAAGAAAAACTAGCATCATTTACAATTTCCTGCCCAAATCAGAAAACTATCCAAGAATTTGTAGACAAAGTTCTTCAGCCAAAACAATAAAGTTCCTTCAGAGTTCAGAGGAGCCCAGAGCCCTGTGACCACTCACTGTGCTCCAGCCATAGTAAAGAAGGGGCCCTAGTCACTTCTTTTGTAATGGGGGAAAAAGTAGAGCACAAAAGTACTCTAGATTAAAAGAAACTAAGACACTTAATATACAATGTGACCAAAGTGCAATGCACAAACTAAATTCCTAAGAAAGTGTGAAACTCCCCCAATTCCTCACTTTTTACAACTGAAAAAAATAACCTTTTTAAATGATAATTTTCATAACATGAGAAAAATACAAATTTTAGACAAGTTGTTAGAAACATGTAATTTTAGCACCAAAAACACATATTGGATTTTCTAATTCTAAAGACAATTTGATTGTATACACGGTCTTATTAGTTAGTCCAGACATAGCTGATCATGCTCAGAAATAATGTAAATTTTCACAGATGAAAAACAATTTCCCTCAATTTTAGGCAACTTTATTGAACAAAACAAAATTCACAGTATCTTTAGAACACAAGCATTTTAGGTTTTCTATAAAAGCATTATTAAAAAATGAAGTATGTTATTCACATACTTCTTCATATATATGCATAAAGTTAAGGTGATAATGATGTTACATATTATAAAGTATCTAGTCTTTAATCTATAGCAACAACTACTACTTTGCCTCCAATATAACAAGTATTAATAGCAGCAGCACTAATGAATTGGCTACTATTTCAAAGGTAAGTGTGTCTACATACACCTTCTTCATTTTTTTCAGCACTTTGAAAGCTTTAATAAAAGAAATGCTTTCATGTTGGCGTGCTTTGGACTTACTTTCAAATAACAGAGAATTTAAGTTTACTGTTTTAAACAGTAAGCTAGAGTTGAGAAAGGAAACGGAATGCTTAAACATGTTACTGGAACATAATGCAGGTTTTTTTTATTATTGATTTTAGAGAGGGAGCAAGAGAGAGAAAGAGAAACATCCCTTGTACACCCTGGGATGGAACCCACAACCCAGGCATCATGTGCCCTTTCAGTGCATGGGACAACACTTCAACCAACTAAGCCACACCAGCCAGGGCTACATAATGCAGTTTTTGGCTGACAGTTCACAAGTCATTGCACAAAGAGGCCAAGAAAATTTTTGATGATCAAGAAAAATAATTTGCAAAATCACTGTTCTATTGGTTCAGAAGTCATCCTCATTTCTGGGTCTTCCACAGAGCTTTCCATAGAATAGGCACCCAAAGCTTCAAGGGCTTGAACTCAACTCTCTGATGTCTCTGGCACTTTATACAGGAAGGACCCAAAGTAATTAATGCGCTCCCTCATCCTCTCCACCCCTCCCCAGTCGACCCTGTCCACCGTGGTATAGGCTACCAGCAGTTAATCCATGACCTTCATCTGAGGAGAACTCAGTTAAATACTCTATTACTTACAACTTTCTTATTAGTCATTAGCCATGAATATTAAGGAGATTGATTATAAAAAGCTTACAAGTCACAAAAGTTATCTCTCAAGAGGCTATTTTTCCTCATGGGACTGAAAATACAAATGTCATGGGTTTGCTGTGCTAACAAGTGTTAATGTGTACAATATCCACTGGTAACAACAAAACAAGGAAACTAGTATTGTCATTTACTTTTGGTAAGCACAAACTGGTAAATTCTTTTGGGAGGAAAATACGACAATACTAGACTATTTTTTAATACACATATGCTTTGAACCAGCAATTCTACTTCTAGGCATCCAGACGAGAAATACTTGTGTGAACAAACTAGTAAGGCTGCACTGTAATACTGTAAAAGCAAAAAAATTAAACATACATCAGTAAAGAGTGATTAGCAATATGATGGAATACTACACAGTTAAAAATGAGGGAGAAGTAGATCTACATATATTGACAAGTAAAAAGCAAAATGTAGAATAATACGTATAGTAACAGTGCATACAGGGGTGGGCAAAAATAGCTTTACAGTTGTTTATATGGAAAGACACGCAGGTTATGATAACTACAATAGCTTTATTAACTCAAAAGACTGTCACAATGGCACAGTGAACTCAGGTACAATCTTGTGGGTGCTCAAATTGTTGGCCTTCATTATTTACACATTCTCGTAGTCTACTTGCTCTACTCAAGCACACTTTGGCACAGAGTCTGACCTACTTTTGCCCACTCCTGTATTTTAAAATCTAATTATTTTTTGAATACTAATGCAGTAATGAATGGTTCAGAATTCAAAAGGAAGGTGAAACGGGTTACAAATGTGAATTTATTCACTCCTGTCTCTAACCACCTATATCCCGTCCCCAGGCACAAGATATCAACTTTTCTTTGAGACTGGTGTTTGGAAGTTATGTAAAACTCTCACAATATTAACTGTAAGCAACACTGTTTTTATATACAAGGGAAGGAGGGAGGTTTGGAACAGAGGGAACTCACCACTGGAATCCCAGAGAAGTCAGGTAAACTACAGAGCACAAAGGGCTTTTTAAAAAAATATTTCCCCACTTTAACCTTTATGTTTTAATTAGGTGTTAAATAGCCTATTCTGAAATCGAGTTAAAACTTCCTGCTTCTGTTTGTCATCTTATTCAAAATGTTGTATACTTTTATCTGTCTGTTTCAAGTAGAGGAGCTCCTTTCATTTCCTGCAATGCAGGACATATGGTGATAAATTCCCTCAGCTTTTGTTTGTCTGGAAAAGCCTTTCTTTCTCCCTCATACCTAAAGGGTAACAAAAATTTGAGTGTCATCCTGGCACAGGAGCCATGTTGATCCTCTCTGCGTTGTTTCACTTCTAGTGTACGACAGATTGTATTTAAACACACAGATACCAGCAAGTCCTGAAGGACACCCACCAAGCTGCTAATGGAGGTACCATATCTATAGAAGGGGAGTTAAGGAGAGGCAGGAAAAAAGGGGTTAAAGGGCATTTTACATTATATTATTTGAATGTTTAGAGATTTACTCATGTACTTGTGTTTTGTTTTGCTTTTTAAGTAGCTGCCAAAAAGCAGGCACTAATGACAATTCCTTATTCAATCCCTAAAAAGGGAACTAGGAAAACCCCATATTCTTTTTTTTGTTTTTTTGTTCTTTAAATGGCAAAGTGTACAGGAATGGCAATCAGAGGTGTTGATGCTGCTAAAAATGATCAGCTATGGGCTTTAGATGAGTCATTCACCTCTTAGTCTTGGTTTTCTCAACTGTAAAATAACTAGCTGGGAATGCTTTCTTTTCCAATGTTCCATCCAGCTCTAAGATATATAGAAGGATAAGTCCTAGTAAAGTCAGAAATGACCTCAAAAAGGCCACAAGCTTTTTGATCTAAAGATCTTAAGCTAATATTTAAGATAATCAATATTATTCATAGAAGTTTAGGAAAACTACAAAAGGCAATAAACATTTTAGATGTTTCCTCAAAGTTTATTTCAACATTATTTCAAGAGTTGTATTTGTTCTGATAATCAGCTGTCTGAGCCTCACCTGACCTTCTTAAAAAGAGAGATCACCTCTCCCCCACAGTAAGACACATTGAGCTCTAAAACACTTTGTTCAGATGATCAAATTGAGGTCCTACTGCTGATATAATCAAAACTGACAGCTTGTTTAAAGAGTATGCATTCTGAAAGAAATATGGGCTACTCTCCTAAGATTTTTTTATTTGTAGATACCTACTACTGTGCCACAAAAAGGTATCCTGAAAACGCAAAGGACGCATAAACCTGTGACTTCTCTATCTCTGTTCAACAATTTGGCCTCTTTTTAGTCTTAAAGTAAAAAGAACATGAAGATTCATTAAAAAGCTATTTGTTCAGTATGCTAAGGACTAAGCTGCTCCAGAAAGTACAAATTTATAAGGAATTCAGGGTTTTCAATACTTCTGTATAGTAATTTTACCTAAAACTTTTGTCCAGCCATCTACGTGCCTCCCCCGAGATTTGCTTTCCAAAAGGCACTCTGGCTGCTGCGGGGGATAAACAGCAGGTTTAAACTGTCCGAGAGGTAAGCGGGATTGGACTAAGGCCCAAGAGCCTGGACAAAACTATTCCAAAGATAAACATATACACAAAGAAAATACACTTGCTAACAGCTAAGTGAGAAATCTCAGAAAACTCATACCCATTTGCTCTTTTCCACTAGGCTGTCTACCAGGATTTGGGTTTGGAAGCTGAAGTGAAGATCCTTTCAGAAATGAATTTTGGACGCCATCCTTAGTTCCATGCAAGAAGTGAGCTAAAATCCCATATAAAAGGGGTCTATGGCAGGAAGAAAACCAAAATCAATTAAATTTGCATAAATAGAAACAGCTTAAAACATCTGTGCTTTAAAAGGTAGCCTCTGACACCAAAATAGCCCAGTAATTCACTGGACTTAAAAAAAAAGTTGCAGTTATTATACAAATTGCAAACTGTTCATGCTTTTTTAAATTTAAGAGTACTATTTAACTCCAAAGACAATTATAAAACCTGGGGGGGGAAATGTTAACAACTTAAATCTCATGTAAACTGAAATACAAATTCAATCAATACACAGGAATTCGGCTTTTAAACTCCAAAGTCCAGTATAAAATTTCTCAGTACCTAATATAGTCTGATACACAACAAGTATTCAATCAACACTTATTACATTAATAAATCCTTGCCTAGAGAAAGTCTTATGTCCCAAGAGACATACCACCTGGTTTCAGATCCTGGCTTTGCCACTTGACTTCAGCAAGATTCTTAATGTCCCAGCCGCATAAATGTTTCCTCCGCTATAAATGAGGATAAGTGTAGATCCTACCTCGTAGGGTTGTTATGGACCAAATGAGTTAATAATGTTTAGAACTGTGCCTAGCACATATTAAATGGTATGTAAATGCTAGCTATATAGGAGTTGGGTAAAAACTAACATTTAAAAAGTTACTTTACAGTTTACAAAACATTTCTGCTTCTATTCAGTTTATCCTCACCTTGTGATGTCATAGTAATCATCCCCAACTTTTAAATGAGAAAAATCACAGCTCAAAGAGAATTTGCTAGAAATCCCTCAGCTAGTAAGGAAGCCAGGGGTGGGGAACTTTTGTCTGCCAAGGGCGATTTGGGTATTTATAACATCATTCGAGGGCCATACAAAATAATCAACTTAAGAATTAGCAATGAAAAAAGCTCCTAGATTTATTGAATTTCAAGTCCCACCTGCAGTTGCCTTGGCAGAGCCAGATCAAATTAAGTAAGCAAACTTCATACTTGAACCGCAAGTCCAGTATTCTTTTCCTTACAATTTGCTGCCTTAGATTTATATTAGTGCCCTAGCACAAACAGAAGCTGCTCTGCTGACAATAGAGAGGTACAAAAGAAATGTTTTCCTTCATTTCCAATCTCATAATCTAAAACACAATTTAATGGATTTAGTTTTTCAAGATATCTATTTACTTATTAGCAGGTGTGATGGTTTAAATTATGACGTTTCTTTCCCTTCAAAAGGTGGTGTCTAACTGCCCTCCCCAACTGTGGGCTAAATTCACTTGTAATGAATCAAGGAAGACTTATGTAAAAGCGCTCTGCACCTTCAGAGACTAGGTCATTACAGCATTGTGGCTCCACTGTGTGAGTCATCAGCATGGAAATATCATTAAAGGCTCAAGAATACTTAGAAGAGTGGGCAGGGGAACAAGAAGAAAAATACAAAACTCGGGGAGTGCCCACATTTAAAGGAATCCCAAAGGAGCCAATAAAGACAGGCAGAACACCATTAGGGAGACAGGAAAATCAAGGCCGTCACAAAAGACAAATGAAAAAAATGTAAGGAAGAGTAAAATTGATATCTATTACAAACTGCTGCAGGAACTCAGTAAAACTGAGCTGCTAAATTGGAAATATATGCTAGAGACCTGGTACAAACTACAGGATAAAGGTGGCATATGATCCTGGAACAATTTCATACAAAGATTTGTGAGAGTTCAATTTAATTGGTATGTCATTAAAAACATTTTTATGGTAAAACAATTACACCATGAAGTAGAATGAAAAAATTCAGTGAATTTTTTTGAAAGAGAAAATGTAAGACTTCAGAGAAATTTCTTGCTAGGAAAAGACTGCTTTGAGCTATGTTCCCAGGTACCTACAGACAATTTTTTTGCCACTCAGGGATCCTCTGGGAAAAGTTTAAGAAACACTGAAGTAGGAAAAGAACTAAGAAACTACTAGAAGTGATTACTCTTCTTTTTAAGAGCATAGTTTTTTGTAAATGGTGTGGAGAGAATTTAAGATGCAGGGAGGACCACAGAGGGGTAATAAAATAAAAGCAGAGGGTTGACTGTCACTAAGTGCAGCAGTAAAAAGGAGATCTTAGCAGCAGCTTGGGGTTGGAAGTTGATAGTTTAATTTTGGAGAGAGGAGATCTGAATACATTCCTAAGTTGAAGTGAAGGAAGCAATGAGGCAGAAGAGTTAAATCTGAGGAAGAAGACAACTGATAGAGCAACAGCATCAGAAGAAGAAAAGGATGGATCAAGAAGCCAAGAGGAGTGTCCCTTAGAAAGAGGTGGGGCTGTTTTGTCCTCTGAAACCATGGGAATTTGAGCTTCAGAGACACCTCATCTGATCAGTTTACTGCTGCATACCTTGGATTTGGTGCAGTGCTAGATACACACTAGACTCAAATAAATACCTGCTGGATTAAAATGAAATAAAAACCACCACTATGAGATTATGACTCCAATACAATACTATCTGAAAGCATATTTTAAAAGTAAGTTCTTACATTGTATTATCCTTTGATTCTTCAAATGTATTTAGTTCTCGGATGAGAAATTGCCTGTCCAGTGGAACCACCGGTTGACCAGATTCTGGGGGGAAAATCATGAAAACACTGAGTCTAAGCAAATATGGTTGTGATAAGAAACACATTTACCAGGTATAAACATTTTTCAGATTTTGGAAAATGATGATGGCAGATCCAACTTATGATTTTATGACTTTTACAATATTTTGTTAAATATTTAACTTAATATGGTTTATCATAAATTCATTTTTAATCTAATTTTTGGTTAAGAAAATAGTGCTTCTGCATTTAAACTACAATGCTAGCCTTCAGAAGTCTGTTTCTGAGAAGTCTGTGAATTAAACATGTGATAGTACCAATATCCATTTGGTGGCAATAATTCTAAGAATAAAATTAACCCGAATATTAAATGCTGGCAAGGATACAGGGCAACTGGAAATCGCACACTTTGCTGGTAGAAGGGCAAAAATGGTACAGCCACTTTGAAAAACAGTTGAGCAGTTTCTTATCCAGGTAAGCATATATTTACAACACATAATCCAGTAATCCACTCTTAGCAGTTTATCTACGAGAAATTAAAACATATGTTCACACAAAAACCTTTGGTGAAGGTTTATGACAGGTTGATTCATAATTGCCAAAACTGGAAGCAACCCAAATGTCCATCAACTGGCATAATGGTATGTTATTCATGGGAGGAAAAAATCAACATGGCTGAATCTCAAATGCATTATGCTAAGTGAAGGGAAGCTGACTCAAAAGTCTATATCCTATATGGTTCCATTTATAGGAAATTCTGGAAAAGACAAATGATAGATACAGATAACAAAAGATCAGTGGTTGCTAGGGGTGTGGAATAGGCAAAGAAGTTGGCTACAAAGGGGCACAGAAAATTTTGGGGGGTGATGGAAATGTTCTATATCGTGACTATGGTGGTAGTGACACAACTGTGTGTTTGGCAAAATCCATAGAACTGTATACTGAAAAAAGTAAAATATAATGCATGGTACCTATACCTCAATTTTTTTTTAAAAAAAAAGGCATTTAATATGAAATTTGACTGTCACTGTATTTCATTCTAGGGAAGCTCAAATTCAAGACACCTAATTAATGATATTTTCATAATTTTCTTCTTTTCTTAGTCTTAATGGTATTATGCAGACGTCTATAACAAATGGAGGAAAGTGGAGATACTGATATTAAAGATCCTTAAACCAGCAAAAACCATCAGTCTTTATTCAGTTAAGATGTGCTTAATATTAAATAAAAGATGTTAATGTAAAGTTCTGGCATCACAAAGAATTCATTCTCTCTTCCAAAATCTACTTTATTTCTTTTCTTTGATGAGGTACACCTCTAAGACACGAAATAGTTTTAAAGCACAGATTAAACTTTAACAGAATTAGCCCTAGCCAGTGTGGCGCAGTTGGTTGGAGCGTCGTCCCATACACGGAAAGGTGGGGTGTTCTATTCCCAGTCAGGGCACATTTGGGAGGCAACCAATTGATGTTTCTCTCTAGCATCAACGTCTCTC